TAATTTTGAATTCCCTACATTGACTTGTTTTCTCTAACATTGGCTCCAGTACCAACAAAAAGCCTTAATTCCATAGGAGAACTGAGACTTAAAAGTGTGAAAAGGAGTGCAAAAGAGAAGTTCAGAATTTTTTTTTTTTTTTTTTTTTTTGAGACGGAGTTTCGCTCTTGTTACCCAGGCTGGAGTGCAATGGCGGGATCTCGGCTCACCGCAACCTCCGCCTCCTGGGTTCAGGCAATTCTCCTGCCTCAGCCTCCCGAGTAGCTGGGATTACAGGCACGCGCCACCATGCCCAGCTAATTTTTTGTATTTTTAGTAGAGACGGGGTTTCACCACGTTGACCAGGATGGTCTCGATCTTTTGACCTCGTGATCCACCCGCCTCGGCCTCCCAAAGTGCTGGGATTACAGGCGTGAGCCGCCGTGCCCGGCAAAAGTTCAGAATTTATGCAGCAGAAATAATCTAACATTGTAGAGGTTTTTTGTTGTTGTTTTATTTTTGAGACATGAGTCTCTGTCACCGGGTATCTCTGCAACCTCCATCAAATTCTGCTGTCAGCCTGCTGAGTAGCTAAGATTTATGCACCACTATGCCTGGTTTTATATTTTTGGTACAGACAGTGTTTGTACAACATGGCGAAACCCCATCTCTACTAAAAATACAAAAATTATCCAGGCATAGTGGTGTGCACCTGTAGTCCAGCTCTTCAGGAGGTGGAGGCCGGAGGATCACCTGAGCCCAGGAGGCAGAGTTTGCAGTGAGGCATGATCACGCCACTGCAATACAGCCTGAGCAAGAGAGCGAGACCCAGTCTCAAAATAATAATAATAAAATAAAAAATAACTGACCATATACAGTGTTGCCAAGGATGTGGAAAAATTCAAATTCTTATATACTACTAGTGGGAATATAAAGTAGTACCAGAACTTTGCAAAGCTGTTTGGCAGTGGTTTTAAAACTAAACACAGGCTGGGCATGTTGGCTCCTGCCTGGAATCTTAACACTGGGAAAGCTGAGGCAGGAGAATTACTTGAGTCCAGGAGTTGGAGACCAGCCTGGGTAACAGCAAGAATCTATCCGCACCCTCCCTGCCCCACCAAAAAAAGCCTCTCGAGCACAGGTGTTCAAGGCTGCAATGAACTGTGATTGTACCACTGCCCTCCAGTCTGGGCAACAGAACAAGACTCTGTCTTTAAGGGGAAAAAGTAAGTACACTGAATGACAGAAGATAGACAAGAAGGGTACATACTTAATGATTTCATTTATGTAACATAATAGGAAATGGAAATTAGTGTATAGTGGCTGAAAGTACATTAGTGGTTGCCTGGGGAGCAGAGGAGGGAATAAATGAGCATGGTAATTTGAGGAGCAAGAAGAACATGATTTTTTTTTTCTACTGTGGAAAGTTTCACAGGTATATATATATGTCAAAACTATCACATTATACATTGTAGGTATGCTCAGTTTCTGCAGGTCAGTTGTATCTCAGAACAGCTACAGGCATATCTTGTTGTATTGCTTTATTGAGAATCACAGGTATTACACTTTTTTTTTTTTTTTTTGAGACGGAGTTTTGCTCTTGTTACCCAGGCTGGAGTGCAATGGCGCGATCTCGGCTCACCGCAACTTCCGCCTCCTGGGTTCAAGCAATTCTCCTGTCTCAGCCTCCTGAGTAGCTGGGATTACAGGCACGCGCCACCATGCCCAGCTAATTTTTTGTATTTTTAGTAGAGACGGGGTTTCACCATGTTGACCAGGATGGTCTCGATCTCTTGACCTCGTGATCCACCCACCTCAGCCTCCCAAAGTGCTGGGATTACAGGCTTGAGCCACCACGCCCGGCTACACTTTTTTTCAAATTGAAGGTTTGTGTGAACCCTGCATTGAGCAAGGCTGGCAGTGCCATTCTTCCAACAGCATGCGCTCACTTCGTGTCTCTGTATCATATTTTGATAACTCTTGCAATATTTTAAACTGTTATTAATTTTGAGGGGGGGATTTTGGAACTATTAACTCTAAAGAATAATCTTTCCAGGCTGGGCATGGTGGCTTACACCTATAGTCGTGGCACTTTGGGAGGGTGAGGTGGGCAGATCACTTGAGCTCAGGAGTTTGAGACCAGCCTGGGCAAACAGGGTGAAACCCCATCTCTACTAAAAATACAAAAAATTAGCTGGGCACGGTGGCGCGTGCCTGTAATCCCAGCTACTCAGGAGGCTGAGGCAGGAGAATTGCCTGAACCCAGGAGGCGGAGGTTGCAGTGAGCTGAGATCGCACCAGCCTGGACAACAGAGTAAGACCTTGTCTTAAAAAAAAAAAAAAAACTCTTTCCAGTGTTTGAAGTTGAAGGTGTAAACCCATTGGAAGAGTTTTCAAAGCATGATATATGTCCCATGGAATATAATAGACCGTGATAGATAATGCAGTATAAGAAGAAAGTAGCCGGGCGCGGTGGTTGAAGCCTGTAATCCCAGCACTTTGGGAGGCTGATGTGGGTGGATCACGAGGTCAGAGGTTCGAGACCAGCTTGGCCAACATGGTGAAACCCCGTCTCTACTAAAAGATACAAAAAATTAGCCGGATGTGGTGGCACATGCCTGTAATCCCAGCTACTTGGGAGGCTGAGGTGGGAGAATTGCTTGAACCCAGGAGGCGGAGGTTGCAGTGAGCCGAGATTGCGCCATTGCACTCCAGACTGGGTAACAGGGAGAGACTCCCTCTCAAAAAAAAAAAAAAAGGAGAAAATAATGGATTTCATAGAAGAGGATAATGTGCTACATTGGTGTCATATTGCTCTTTTCAAAGATGAGGAATACATATTCGGTTTCTAGCAGGAGAGCTGACAAGGATGAACCATTGTTGCTGAACTTTTCTCATTGCTGGTTATCCAAATGTCATGGTAATTTGAGTGTTTACTATTTATTTAAACCGTTATTTTAGGTTCAAGGGTACCTGTACAGGCTTCTTATATTGGTAAATTGTGTATCATGAGGGTTTGGTGTACATATTATTTTATCACCCAGATAGTAAGCATAGTTCCCCATAGGTAGTTTTTGGATCATCACCCTCCTCCCACCCTCTACCCTCAAGTAGGCCCTGATGTCTGTTCCCTTCTTTGGGTTCATGTGTACTCAACGTTTAGCTCCCACTTATAAGTGAGAATATTCGGTATTTGCTTTTCTGTTCCTGCATTTATTCAGTTAGGATAGTGGCCTCCAGCTCCATTCATGTTGCGGCAAAGGACATGACCTTTTTCTTGTTTATGGCTGTATAGTATCCCATGGTGTATATGTATCATAATTTTCTGTAGCCAGTCTATAATTGATGGGTAATTAGATTGCGTCTATGTATTTCTATTGTAAACAGTGCTGTGAGGAACACAGGTGTGCATGTGCCTTTACGGTAGAACAATTCATATCCCTTTGGGTATGTACCCAACAATAGGATTGCTGGGTCAAATGGTAGTTCTGTTTAAGTTCTTTCAGAAATCGTCAAACTGCTTTTCTACAGTGTCTGAACTAATGTACATTCCCACCCGTAGTGTGTAAGCATTCCCTTTTCTCCACAACCTTCCCAGTATCTGTTATTTTTTGGCTTTTTTTATTTTTTATTTTTGAGATGAAGTCTTGCTCTGTCACCCGGGCTGGAGTGCAGTGGCACGATCTTGGCTCATTGCAACCTCTGCCTCCTGGGTTCAGGTGATTCTCCTGCCTCAGCCTCCCAAGTAGCTGGGACTATAGACACGTGCTACCACGCCCAGCTAATTTTTTGGTTTTTTAGTAGAGACAGGGTTTCACCATGGTAGACACGTTGGTCTCGATCTCCTGACCTCATGATCCACCCAAAGTGTTGGGATTACAGGCATGAGCCATTTTTCAGCTTTTTAGTAATAGCCATTCTAGGGCCAAGTGAGGTGGCACAAACCTACAGTAATTCAAGCATCTTGGGAGGCCCAGGTAGGCAGATCACTTCAGTCCAAAAGTTCAAGAACAGCCTGGGCAACATGGTGAAACTCCCTCTCTACAAAAACTACACAAATTAGGCTGGTGTAGTGGTGTGCACCTGTAGTCTGAGCTACTTAGGAGTCTGAAGTAAGAGGATCCCTTGAGCCAGGAGGTCCAGCTGAGATCACACCACTGCAGTCCAGCCTGGGTGACAGAGTAAGACCCTGTGAGAAGGAAAAAAAGTCATTCTAACTGGTGTGAGATGGTATCTTCTTGTGGTTTGGGTTTGCTTTCTCTAACGTTTAGTGATGTTGAGCATTTCTTCATATGCTGATTGGCTACATGTATATCTTCTTTTGAAAGGTGCCTGTTCATGTCCTTTGCCCACTTTTTACTGTAGTTTTTTTTAATTGTTAATTGGTTTGAGTTCCTTGTCAATTTTCAATGTTAGACCTTTGCCAGATGAATAGTTTGCAAATATTTTCTCCCAATTTGTAGGTTGTCAGTTTACTCTGTTGATGGTTTCTTTTGCTGTGCAGTTGCTCTTTAGTTTAATTAAGTCCCATTTATCAATTTTTTTGTCAAACTTTTATAATATTATATTGGTTATGGTGATATGTGATCAGTGATCTTTGATGTTGCTATTGTATTTCTTTTGGGGCCCCACAAATTGTGCCCGTATAAGATGGTGAAATTAATTGGTAAAAGTGTGTGTTCTGACGGCTCCACTCACCAGCCATTCCATCATCTCCGTCTCCTGAGGCCTACCTGAGACACAGTAATATTGAAATTAGGCCAATTAATAACCCTACAATGTTCTCTAAGTGTTCAAGTGAAAGGAAGAGTCATATGTCCCTCATTTGAAATTAAAAGCTTTCTAGCTTTTAATGACTAAGCTTAGCAAGGAAGGCTTGTTAAAACCCAAGATAGGCTAAAGGCTAGGCCTCTGGTACCAAGCAACCAAGTTTTGAATGCAAAGGAAAAGTTATTGAGGGAAATTAAAAGTGCGACTCCAGCGAACACACAAATGGTAAGAAAGCAAAGTAGCCTTAATGCTGATATAGAGAAAGTTTTAATGATCTCGATAGAAGATCAAACCAGCTGCAACATTCTCTTAAGACAACGCCTAACCCAGAACAAGGTGCTAACTCTCTTTAATCCTCTGAGGCCTGAAAGAGGTGAGGAAACTTGCAGAAGAGAAGTTGGAAGCTAGCAGAGATTGGTTCATGAGGTTAAGGAAAGAAGCCGTCTCCGTAACATGAAAGTGCAAGGGGAAGAAGCAAGGGCTGATATGGAATCTACAGCAAGTTACCCAGGAGATCTAGCGATGATCATTGATAAAGGTGGTTACATTGCACACTAGATTTTCAATGCAGACAAAACAGCTTTCTATTAAAAGATGCCTTTTTTTTTTTCTTTTTTAATGTTTTTGTGTTTTTATTTTTATTTTTTCTACTTTTCTTTGTTTAAAAGATGATGTCTTACAGTACTTTAATAACTAGAAAGGAGTAAATGCCTGGCTTAAAAGCTTCAAAAGACGAGCTTACTCTCTTGTTAGGGGTAATGCAGCTGATGACTTTCAGTTGAAGTCGATGCTCATAGACCATCCCAATGATCCCAGAGCGCTAAGAGTTAGGCTAAGTCTACTCTTTGCATGCTCTAGTCGATGCTCACTGACCGTCCCAATGATCCCAGAGCCCTAAGAGTTAGGCTAAGTCTACTCTTCACATGCTCTGTAAGTGAAATTATAAAGCACATCTGTTTACAGGATGATTTACTGAATATTTTAAACTCATTGTTGAGCCCACTGCTCAGAAAAAAGATTCCTTTCAAAATATTACTGCTCACTGACAACGCACACAGTCATCCAAGAGCTCTGCTGGAGATGCGTGGGAGGTTAATGTTTGATGCCTGCTGAGGCGGTGTCCATTCTGCAGCCCGTGGATCAAGGAGTAACGTCAACTTTCAAGTCTCATTATTCAGGAAATACATTTTATAAGGCTCTAGCCACCAAAACGAGGGGTCTTCAAAAAGTTCACAGAAAATTCATATTATGAAAAACTATGTGTATGGATTTCAAAAACTTTTCACACCAAAATAAACTTATACTAACTTGTTATAATATGTTTGAACAGGATGTAGTTTGAGGCACTAAAAAGGATAAAACATCAATTTATAAGAGCCCATTTCAGACCAACTTAAATTATGCTAAAATTAGCTGGGGGCGGTGACTCATACCTGTAATCCCAGCACTTTGAGAGGCCGAGGCAGGTGAATCATGAGGTCAGGAGATCGAGACCATACCGGCCAACATGGTGAAACCCCGTCTCTACTAAAATACAAAAATTAGCCAGGCATGGTGGTGCGCACCTGTAGTCCCAGCTACTTGGGAGGCTGAGGCTGGGGAATCTCCTGAACCCAGAAGACAGAGGCTGCAGTGAGCTGAGATCACACCACTGCACTCCAGCGCACAGCAAGACTCCCTCTAAAAAAAAAAATGCTAAAATTGAAGCAAGAACAAACATCACATAAAAGCTATGGGCCAGACATGGCGGCTCATACCTGTAATCCCAACACTCCAGGAAGCTGAAGCAGGCAGACCTCTTAAGCCCAGGAGTTCAAGACCAGCCTGGGAAACATGATGAAACTTCGCCTCTTCAAAAACTACAAAACTTAGCCAGGCGTGGCTGCATGCACCTGTAGTCCCAGCTCCTTGGGAGGGTGAGATGTGAGGACCGCTTAAGCCCGGGAGGTCAAGGCTGCAGTGAGCCATGTTTATGCCACTGTACTCCAGCCTGGGTGACAGACTGAGACCCTGTTTCAAAAAACAAACAAAACACGAATTTTTGGTGACACTTGGGTGGAAGAATGGTAAAGTCATTGTCATTGGTGCTTTACGAAATGTTTTTTTTTTTTTTTTTTTTTTTTTTGAGACGGAGTTTCGCTCTTGTTACCCAGGCTGGAGTGCAATGGCGCAATCTCGGCTCACCGCAACCTCCGCCTCCTGGGTTCAGGCAATTCTCTTGCCTCAGCCTCCCGAGTAGCTGGGATTACAGGCACGCACCACCGTGCCCAGCTAATTTTTTGTATTTTTAGTAGAGACGGGGTTTCACCGTGTTGACCAGGATGGTCTCGATCTGCCGACCTCGTGATCCACCCGCCTCGGCCTCCCAAAGTGCTGGGATTACAGGCTTGAGCCACCGCGCCCGGCCTACGAAATGTTTATGAGGGCAGAGCCCCAAAGAAATCAACAGTTTACAAATATATACATAATTTTAGGAAGAAAGGATATGATATTGAAGATGAAGCCCACAGCTGCAGACCATCCACATCCATTTGTGAGAAAAAGTTTTATTCACACCCTAATTGAAGAGAATCATTGGTCAATGATTTAACAACAGAATAGCCAACACCATGGGCTGGGTGTGGTGGCTCATGCCTATAATCCCAGCACTTTGGGAGGCCGAGGCAGGTGGATCACAAGGTCAAGAGTTTGAGACCAACCTGGCCAAGATGGTGAAAACTTCTATTAAAAATATAAAAATTAGCTGAATGCGGTGACGGTTGCCTGTAATCCCAGGTACTCGGGAGGCTGAGGCAGGAGAATTGCTTGAACCCGGGAGGAAGAGGTTGCAGTAGCCAGGATTGAGGCAGACAACTCATCAGTTGCAGACAAGAGCAAAGTTTTCAATGGAAATTTTAAAACAAGCGAGACAAAGATCCTGAAGCACTTCTGAGTATTATAACACTACATGAAACACGGCTTTACCAGGATGGTCCTGAAGACAAAACACAATGAAAGCAATGGCCATCACGGGGTGGAAGTGGCCCCGTCAAAGCACAAGTGAAAGGGTCAAGAGATGCTTGAGGCACTTTGCCTGTTGACTTTCTGGAGGGCCCCAAAATAGTAACTTCTGCTAATTATGAGAATGTTTTGAGAAAGTTAACCAAAGCTTGAGCAGAAAAATCCCCAGGTGAGCTTTCAGTGGCTAGTACTTCTTCACCACAACAATGCTTATGCTTCCAATCAAATAAGGGCAATTTTGCATGAGTTTTGATGGGAAATCATTAGGCGTCCACCTTATGGTCCTGGTTTGGCTCCTTATGACTTCTTTATGTTTCCTAACCTTAAAAAAATCTTTAAAAGGCACCCACATTTCTTCAGTTAATAATCAGTAAAAAAGACTGCATTGACATGGTTAAATTTCCAGGTCTCCCAATTATTTAAGGACGGACTAAATTGCTGGTATCGTTGCTTACAGAAGTATCCTGAAGTTGAAGTTGATGGAGTTTTTATGTTCAGAAATCATGTTTATATTTTTATCTTTTAATTCATTTTTTCCACAAACTTTTTTTTTTTTTTTGAGCCAAGGTCTTACTCTGCTGCCTAGGCTGACATGCAGCCATATGTACTGGCTCACTGCAGCCTTGATCTCCTGGGCTCAAGCAGTCCTCCCACCTCAGTCTCCTGAGTAGCTGGGACCACAGGCACATGCCACCATGCCCAGTCAATTTTTAATTTTTTAGTAGAGACAGGGTTTCACCATGTTGCCCAAGCTGGTCTCAAACTCCTGGGCTCAAGCAGTCCTCCTGCATCAGCCTCCCAAATTGCTAGGATTACAGCTGTGAGCCACCGAATCTGGCTACGGAGTTGCTTTTCATGGATGAGCAAAGTGGTTTGATGGGATAGACTCTGCTGTGAACATTGTGGAAATGACATTCACGGAATTGGAACAGTACATGAATTCGTTTGATAAAGCAGCAGCAGGGTTTGAGAAGACTGGCTCCAATTTTAATTTAATTTAAAACACTTTAAATTTAAACATTTATGTGTTTATTTAACAGATGGGGTCTCACTCTGCTGCCCAGGCTGGAGCACAGTGGCTTGATCACAGCTCACCACAGCCTCAATCTCCTGGGCTCTAGTCATCCTCCCACCTCAGCCTCCCAAGTAGCAGAGGCTGCAGGTGTGTGCTACCAGTTCATTTAAATTTTTTTATGGTTGGTACAGACAGGGTCTCTCTTTGTTGTCCAGGCTGGTCTGGATTTCCCAGCCTCAAGTGATCCTCCCACCTCCATCTCCCAAGACATGTCTTTTTATGAGACATAGTCTCATTCTGTCAGCCAAGCTGGAGTGCAGTGGCCCAACCTCAGCTCACTGCAACCTCTGCCTTCCAGGTTCAAGCAATTCTGCCTCAACTCCCGAGTAGCTGGGATTACAGGCGCATGCCACACCCGGCTAATTTTTATATTTTTAGTAGAGATGGGGTTTCCCTAATGTTGTTAAGCAGGTCTCAAACTCCTGACCTTGTGATCCGCCCACCTTGGGTTCCCAAACTGCTGGGATTACAGGAGTGAGCCACTGCGTCCAGCTGTTCTTTTTTTTTTTTTGTAAGACAGGGTCTCACTGCTGTCGCCCAGGCAGAAGTGTAGTAGCGAGATCATGGCTCATTGTTAACTCCACCTCAGGCTCAAGTGATCCTCTCAACTCATTTTTTTATTTGTCAAATTTTTTTTTTTTTTTTTTTTTTTTTTTTTAGATACTGGGTCTCACTATGTTGCCTAGTCTGGTCTCAAAGTCCTGGGCTTAAGCAGTCCACAGGCATGAGCCACAGTGCCTGCCCAACAAAAATGTGTGTGACTTGCTTTTCTGTAATATTCTCTCTCTCTCTCTCTTTTTTTCTGAGATGGAGTCTCGCTCTGTCACCAGGCTGGAGTGCAGTGGTGCGATCTCCGCTCTCTGTGATATCGGCTCACTGCAATCTCTGCCTCCTGGGCTCAAGCAATTCTCCTGCCTCAGCCTCCCAAGCAGCTGAGATTACAGGCACGCGCCACCACACCCAACTAATTTTTGTATTTTAGTAGAGATGGGGTTTCACCATGTTGGCCAGGATGGTCTTGATCTCCTGACCTCATGATCTGCCCTCCTTGGCCTCCCAAAGTGCTGGGATTACAGGACTGAGCCACCGCGCCAGCCCTGTAATATTCTCTTTGTAGTAGTGGTTTGGAATCCAACTCAAAATATCCCTGAGGTATGCATGTATTTTATTTTATTTTTTTAGTGACACTGTTGAGCAAATAAAAAGCAAGACACTGACTGGGTGAAAATGTTTGCACAACACATATCTGAGAGAGAATTTTTATCCAAAACACCTAAATTTTTTTTGCAATTCAATAAGATAAGCATATCGATTTTTAAATGGGCTAATTATTATTATTATTGTTATTTTCTGTGACGAAGTTTTGCTCTTGTTGTCTAGGCTGAAATGCAATGGTGTGGTCTAAGCTTAGTGCAACTTCTGTCTCCTGGGTTCAAACGATTCTCCTGCCTCAGGCTCCCAAGAAGCTGTAATTATAGGCACCTGCCACCACACTTGGCAGATTTTTGAAATTTTGCAAGGGATGGGGTTTCACCATGTTGGCCGGGCTGGTCTCAAACTCCTGACCTCAGGTAATCCACCTGACTCAGCCTCCCAAAGTGCTAGGATTACAGGTGTGAGCCACCGCGCCTGGCCTGCGAGGATCTCTTTAGTCCGGGAGTTCAAGACCAGCCTGTGGAACACAGACCTTGTTGCTACAGTTTTTTCTTTTTTAATTAGCCGAGTGTGGTGGCAAGTGCCTATAGTCCTAGCTACTTGGGAGGCTGAGGCAGATCCCTTGAGCACAAGAGTTGAGGTTGCAGTGAACATGATCACACCACTGCATTTCAGCCCTGGGTGACAGGGTGAGACCCTTATCTCAAAAAAATAAAAATAAAAATAAAAAAAAGAGCCGGCCATTCAACTTGTTCCATTCAGAAAGGAAAAGAATGGCTTCTAAGCCGAACACTTCGACAGAGAAGTGAGAGTTAAAAAGCTACACGGGTCTGACGAATGGGCCCGAAAGAGATTCAGAAGGTAAGAAAAGAAGAGGAAATGAAGGAGACGGGAAAAGGTGAAGGAGTGGGGCAAAGGTCATTTGCTGGGAACCTGGCTACCCAGATTTTTATGCACCCAGGGCAGCCTGGGAGCCCTGTTGCCCCTCGCGCCGCTGGGGACGCGGAGCCGACAGGGAAAAGAGGGGTGCACACCCTGCAGGTGTTGGCACCCCGCAGGGGTCCGTGGGAAGGAGGCGCACTTTGCCCAGCTCTTGCCTCCGGGAGCAGGAAGGGGGTGGGTGGAACTGAGCCTGGGGCCTCCCAGCAGCCCTGGCTGCCTCCGGGCTGTCAGCAGCTCCCTCCCGCTGTCACTCATCTCCAGTAGCAGGAATAAACAGAGGTCTTGATATGAAACTGGGGATGCAAGGAAGCGCTTATAAATCATGCAAATAGTCTTTTAGAACCATTGGAAAGTCTCAACAATGTGGGTGAAAATCAGATTGTCCACTTGGAAAAAATGAACAGCTCTATAGACTGATTCACTTGGCCGTTATATTCTACCACCATATAGGCACTTGGAGCACTGCCAGCTAGCTTGCAAGTAGGACTGGTGTGATTACCTGAAACTGATGTTAAAAGGGTAAAGCCAAGGAAAAGATCCCTGGGCCTCAGCCCAGGAGCTGAAGACCAACCTGGGCAACATAATGTGACCCACATTTCTACCCAAAACAAAAAATAATTGCTGGGCATGTGGTCCCAGCAACTTGGGAGACTGAGGTGGGAGGATTGCTTGAGTTTGGGAGGTGGAGGCTGCAGTGAGCTGTTATAGCACCACTGACCTTCAGCCTTGGTGACAGAGGGAGACCCTGTTGCAGGAAAAAAGAAAAGGAAAGGAAATAAAAGAAAAAGACAAGTGAAAGAGAAAACAAAAGAAAAAAGAAAAATCCCTGTTTGGGATTTAGGCTATACTTAGGAAATAAGGATTAATTGAAAAACCTAATATTCTGATCTTTATCAAACAGAAAATGCTTTTCTAAGTCTATATCGTGCCAGAAAGGTATTAATGTGTATTTTTAAAAGTGATCTAAATAAACTGTTAAATTCTTTTTCATGAAACATCAAAAGTATTCGTGTGGCTTTACTTTAGAATTGATGCATTGCAGTTGTTTAGGAAATCATGCATACCCTAGATATGATATTTGTTAACCAGAAATATCTAATAATCTGAACACATTGGAAATTGTGCCCTACGGCCGAGCATACAATTCTACGGTGGTGTTACTAGCATTGCTGTCATGGCTCTGACTCTAGACTCTTTCTTATCTGCAGCTCTGATTTGGTTGTACCAAGTCTGTTCAAAGGCTAAGTACAACTTCATTGTGTCTAGATGGGGGAGTCAAAGAAATGTCTAGCCTGTTCATTAGTGCCACGGGTTTATAAGCAACATTACAGGCATTCCGTTTCATCACAGCTTTTCAATCTGCTATACGAACGTACGACTCAGTTACTGTTTACCTTTACCCTTTTTGTCAAGGCGGGGGCTGCTGCTTCTGTATTCAGGCTCAAGTAATTCCCATTATGCCATGCCCTGTGTGCACCTTCTGGGAGTTATGTGATCTGGAAGTTAGCCCATGGACATCTAAGATCTGGGAAGCCTCCGAATCTGGTAGTGGAAGGGCCTGGAAATCTACAACCACAACTAGGTAGAGGACACCTGTTTCGGGAGGGGTGATAAAATAGGAAGCGAAACGAGGAAAAGGGAGTTGTGATCACGGTTCCAAAGGCTCCACACCCATCTTGGAGTTAGGGGGCACTCAGGTCTCTGTTTCGTGACCCGTGGCCCCACGCCTCCAAGACACAGGTCTTCAGTGACCCAGGCTTGAGATTTCAAACCCCATCCCCCAATGCCAAACTCCCTTGTCCCAGCTGGGAGGCCCCAGGGCATTTCTGAACATGGCCATCTCCAGTTCGCAGAAATCTGCGTTGCTGCAAATAGAGGAGGACAAGCGATCACAGCCCACGAATGCGAGCAGCGTCAAGTCAGCAACAATATTCCAGCTGCAGAGAGGTCGGAGACTTCTGATGATCTCCCTCCTTCTCCACCTTAACTAAGAGGCATCTTCTCACCTTCCCGCCCTCGGCGCCAAGAGGGGCTAACTAATCCGAAAGGCTTCGTGCCCTCTTCCTTTTCCATTTTTCGACTTCCAAACTCCCACTGAAAGATAAGGAAGGAGACCACGGAACACGATACAAAGAAGTTTCTTAAAACGCCTTCTTTTCTAGGTTCTCAAGGCGTCCCCTTTAAGGAACCAGGCCCACCTCTTTCCCATTCACCTACTGGCTTTCCTTCCTGTCCGTCATTCTACCTTTAAGAATATTTCCTGTTCCTTCAACCCAACTTGCACACCTCCGCCCCCCGGCCCTCCTCATTGGGCCGCCCGAGTCCCGTTCATTCCTTGGTTTTCTCTCCGCCTCCTCCCGCCCCCTGGCGTAGCGCAAAAGCATTCTGTCTTCTTATTGGCTACTATGGCAGCGTTCCGCATCCTGATTGGCGGGTGGAGTGACAGAGGCGGGAGCGCGGCGCGCCCAGGGTAGGCTGTTCGCTCGCTGAGCAGCGGCCGCGGGAGGGGCGGGGAGGGGCGGGGGGAGGGGGGCTGGGAAAGTTGAGGCCGCGCTGCCGCCGGGTCTCCGGCCTTGAGGGCTCGGGCTCGCAGCGGCGGCGGTGGCCGCAAAAAGAAGCGGCGGGGGCGGGGGGAGAGGAGGGCCTGGGCCCGCGCTCCCCCAGCCCCGGAGGAGCAGGCGGCGGCTGCGGACGGAGCGATTCGCCCAGACGGTCGGACACTCCTGCCTTCCCCTCCTGGGATCATGACCCAGGCGGGGGTCGCCGCCGTCGCCGCCGCCACCGCGGCCGAGACCGCGCAGCCGGCGGGTAAGTGACTGCGGGAGGGGGCCGCTGACAGCCGGGGCGGGGGGCGGGGGCCGGGGCTGCGGGGGCGGCTCCGGGGGGCGGCCCCGGGCTCAGCTCCACCCACCCCCTTCCTGCTCCCGGAGGCCGGGGCTGCGCTCAGTGCGCCTCCTTCCCGGGGACCCCCGCGTGCGGTACCTGGTGTGGTGCCAGCGCCCGCGGCGTGCGCGCCCCTCAGCTGCCCGGCCCCTGGGGAGCTCGCCCTGCGCCCAGCTCCTAACGCACGGGGGCCGAGAGGGGCCCCACGCTGCCCTGGGTGCATGAAGAGCTGGGCAGCCGGGCTCGCCCCAGATGGCCTTTGCCCGCCTCCCTCGCCTTCGCCGCCTTCTTTCCTCGCCCTCTGAATTTCGTTCGGACCCAGTCGTCAGACTCGCTCGTGGCTTTTTTTTCACTCTCGCTCCCCTGTCGAAGTGTTCGGCTGACGTTTTCCTTTTAGAAACCATTCTTTTGCTTTCTGAATAGAAGCAGTGCAAGTGAATGACCAGCTCTTGAAGTCTACTTTCATATATCCGGGTGAAATATGCAATTCCTGGCTCTTGTTCACGTTTGCAGTTTAGACATTTGAATTCACCCCACTCACTCCTGAAGCCTCTCCTCCCAACCCTCCCCGTTACATTGGGATGAGGTCCTTGGCGATTATTAATTTTATCTGGAAACAAGAGACTGCGTAAACCAAAGTGCAGAATTTCAACTTCTGTTCGCATAACATTTTTACCGTCAAATAGATGCAGTGACCTAACACCACACAAAACAAGGCAATCGTGGCCAACTTTGTAGGTAAAGAAGACATTTCCTTACCTATAAACAACGTGCAGATTTCTTGAATAAATCTTACGGTGAGTAACATGGATCCTGAAGCATATTCCCACGTTTGCTCTTTTGTAAAGAAAACCAAACAGACAGACCTACTTTTCAAAGGATCAGCAGGCTCTTCTACTCTCCATTCACCTTGAGGACTTTTTTCTCCCGGACGGGACTCTTGTTTAACATAGGACAGAGTTGCTGTTTCGAATACATAGGTTGTTTCTCTTTAAGTACTCAGAAAGTACTCTTTGCAAACTAAGTGAAATACATTGTAATTGCACTTCTGAAAGCAGAAGTAGTATAATATATCCATGCAAGAATCAATACTTAACGTTTTGCGTGAGTCTAATCCAAGCTTCTCTAACCACCGTCCCAGGACGGCTTTTAATGCCGCCCAAGACAACAAATTCATAAACTTTTTATTTTTTGAGACAGCGTCCCACTGTCGCCCAGGCTGGAGTGCAGTGGTGTAATATCAGCTCACTGCAAACTCTGCCTCCCGGATTCAAGCAATCTTCCTGCATCATCCTCCTGATTAGCTGAGATTACAGGCGTACGCCACTAACCCAGCTAATTTTTGTGTTTTTCAGTAGAGACGGTTTCTCCGTGTTGACCAGGCTGATCTTACACTCCTGACTTCAGGTGATCTGCCTGCCTCGGCCTCCCAAAGTGCTGGGATTACAGGCATGAGCCACCGCGCCCAGCCTCAAATTTGTAAAGTTTCTTAAAACATTGAGATTTTTGTTTGTGATTTTTTTTTCTTTTCATCAGCTATCGTTAGTGTTAGTGTATTTTATGTGTGGCCCAAGACAATTCTTCTTCCAGTGTGGCCCAGGGAAGCCAAAAGATTGGACTCCCTGGTCTAAGCTGAAAGACATAGGTGTGCATAGGTAATGGGTTCTCTCTGTATTTAGGAGTTTTGTAAAATCCACACGCAGCCAAGAACATCTAATAAAAAAGCAGTGCATCGCGCGGCTGTAAGAGCCGCTTAGAATTGAAGTACTTACTTTTTAGGTTAGGTGTCTATGGAACACCATGGAAGTACTGTTCTAAAGCTGTAGGCTCTACACGCAATGAACCAGTCATGTATGAGAAACTGACGGGTACTTTTCCTATTTTCAGAGCTTAGCCTTGTGGTGAAGGGAAAAGAAACACTAAGAAAACTGAGAATTTTTAACTCAGGTTAGAAGATAAGCTTCAACAGGTAATCAGCTCAGATTTGTTGCTTATAAACAGGGTCTTAAATCAAGCTAGAGTCTTGATCGTATCTGCCATGCTTTACCTCTCTATTCCCCAGCCCAGTGGTTCTCAACCTAGACCGTACCTGAGCATCACCTTGTGTGTCTTTAAGTTTTAATGCCCGGGCCATTTCCCCCAGAAATTCTCTTACTTTTGTTCTGGAGTAAAGCTCTACCATGGGCATATTTTTTTTTTTTTTGAGACGGAGTTTCGCTCTTGTTACCCAGGCTGGAGTGCAATTGCACGATCTCGGCTCTCCGCAACCTCCGCCTCCTGGGTTCAGGCAATTCTCAGGCTCCTGAGTAGCTGGGATTACAGGCACGCGCCACCATGCCCAGCTAATTTTTTGTATTTTTAATAGAGACGGGGTTTCACCATGTTGACCAGGATGGTCTCGATCTCTTGACCTCGTGTGATCCATCCGCCTCTGCCTCCCAAAGTGCGGGGATTACAGGTGTGAGCCACCGTACCTGGCCCCCATGGGCATATATTTTAAAGCTCTCCAGGTGATTCTGTTCAGTGGCCCTGGCTGAGAACTCCCATGAGAGTAGAACAGCGTCCAAAGGCTAATCTTGTGTTCTGGGCTTTTCTAAATCAGGCTTCACACATGTGTCTAACTTTCCCCCCACTGCTTTTGTTAAAAATGTTGGCCTTTCTCAGGATATGGAGACCTTTCCCCTGTTCTTCTGTCCTGCCAACAATAGTTCTGATTACACTTTTATGAAGGTTTTCTGCATAGCTTACTCTGGTTCTTATTGATCAACTCCCTTTGAACTTTTATGCTACACGTTGTTTAAAAGACTCCCTTTATGCTTACAGCATATGGCAGTTTAAATTCTATGTGTATGTGTTTCATTCTTCTCAAATGTAATGAGAAGGAATATTTTACTTTTCATCTCTTCTACAGAAGTTTTCTTTAAGTTTGATTGGTCTGACTCTTCCTGCAACCATAGTTTTAGGTTTGATTTCATCTTAGAAATGTTAGCAGCTTCCTCATACCTTAACTAGCTTTGAATTCATGTATAGACATCAGGATTTTTTTCATATCTTGTCTTTGTTTTGTTAGTAAGTTATTTATCTTCCGTGGCCTCATAACAGTTTGTACTTACTTCTGTGTTAGCATTTAGCACATTGCCCTAAATGTGTGTTTATATGCCTTCCCCACCATACTGCTAACCAGAGCCTCCATTTTGAGCAGCTCCGGGGGGCACCATTCACATATTCTTGAATAGCATTGCAGCACGGCAGAAGTAGAACTCTACCAACATAGGAACTGTGTTCTTTTTATCTTTGTATTCTCAGGACCTAACATTGCATTTGTGATTACTAGGCGTTAATAAATGTTCTTGAATGAGTAAATGACTGCCATGTTATATATTATAAAAAGATAGCCATATACATCTTGAGCATAAGTTATTTGGCATTAATTGATTTTGCTATTAAATATTTTTCTGTCCTATACTCCTATTATGGATTTGTTAAAGGTTAGTAGAATCTAAGTGATTGTAGTTGTGACAGACCCTTTAAATATGTACTCTTCCTTCTAATATGCACAGACGTATATATGTCTTGAGTTTTTTACTCTGTACTGTAAGGGTGTACACTTATTATTCATAAAATATTTGTGGAACTCTTGCTAAGAGAAAAGTGGTTAACTGTCCAATTGGATAATTTTTCTTTTTCTCATTAAAATTTCCATATGGGTACAATTGCACTACTTCAGAAGGCCAGGTCTTTTAATTGGATCAGTAGGGCATGATAGGTTGTTTCTAATAGTGTGCTAATGCTGTGTTTTTAATTCGGTTCACCAAGTATTTATTGTTTACCATGTGCCCAACACTGTTAGGTTGTAAAGAGAAAACAGAAATAGTAAATGGTGGACTCAGCATATAAGAACTTTTTAGACTGATTGGGAGGATTGTTTAAGGAACTCAATGGAGTATTCATTAGATGCTAAATTAAACATAAGTATGTAAAATCTATGATGTAATGATTAATACAAAAAAAAGGAAAGACGAGCTATTCTTTCAGCAGACATTTATTACCCAATTACCGAGGGCTAATTGTTGAGGATACAAACATCAAATTTTTTTTTCATGTTTGTATTCTCAGTAATATGAATAATATGATTTTTTTCACGTTTGTATTCTCAATAATTAGCACTCAGTAGTGGAGTAGTAAGTTTCTACTATTTAGAAGCTTATAACCTAGTGGGGAAAACTAGTAAGTATATAGACTGTAGTTCATGTTAAGACATTGTGGAGGATTAGGATGTTTGGGGGTATGAAGAAGGGTGTTTAGTCTAAGCTCTAAGGCACGGGTCCCCAGGTGGCCTGTTAGGAGCCAGGCTGCACAGCAGGAGGTGAGCTACCCTCCTGTCAGATCAGCAGCAGCATCAGATTTTCATAGGAGTGGGAGCCCTGTTGTGAACCACTCATGCGAGGAATCCAGCTCGTGTGCTTCTTGTGAGAATCTAATGCCTAAGCTAGATGGAACAGTTTCATCCCCAAACCATCCGCTCCACTTGCTGTCCATGGAAAATTGTCTTCCATGAAACCAGTCCCTGGTGCCAAAAAGATTGGGGACCACTGCACTAGGTTTCAGAGAAAGCTTAAAGAGGATATATAGTGAGGACTCTCAGAAATTCCTTAAACAGCAGAAACCAAAATGGAGGGAATAGAGAGAAGAAATTTGTGGTGTCACCGCTGTCTACCTCTGTGTCATTGGAGGGGCCAACTTCTCTTTGGTTATAAACAATAGAAATTGAATTTGGCTAAAGTTAAGCAGGCAGTGGATAAACTCACAGAAAGAAAGGGAGATAGAATAATGAAGTCTTGGGAAGGCCAGGAGAACAAGAGCACACAGGACGGCAAGGATCCATGGGGCTGATTCAACCTCAGCTGGCTTTCCTCCTTGTGGGGAGTCTTATTAGTTAGGCCCATGCCTGCCCCAGAGGTGAGCCCATATTTGGTGGTCCCATCTGATTTCAGGGATGAGACAGAGAAGGTCTCCAAAGGAAAGCCGGGGTATTATTATCAGAAGACCAAAACAGCAGAGATTTCTTGCAGCGTTCATTGGATTTGGCAGTGTGGAAGTCTTTTGGTGAGCTTGGTGTAAGCAGTTTTAGGAATAAAAGTCAGGTAACAGCTGGGTGAAGAGTGAATGGGAAGTGAGGAAAAGAGGGCAGGAAGTGTCAACGGCTTGTTCAAGAACCCTGATGGTTACGAGGAAGAATGGGGACACCTGTAGGGAGGTGCAAGATCAGGAAAAAAAATCATTTTAGGGGTTTACATGGAAACAATTGAATAAGGATTTATTTTTATTGAGATGGAATCTCTCTCTGTCACCCAGGCTGGAGTGCAGTGGTGCGATTTCAGCTCACTGCAACCTCTGCCTCCTTGGCTCAAGCCATCCTCCTACCTCAGCCTCCTGAGTAGCTAGGATTACAGGTTTGCAGCACCACACCTGGCTAATTTTTTGTATTT